GGAAATTTTCTTTCCTGGAATAAACAAAGAGTTTGATGGAGATGCTGCCATCTTCCCAATCACAAAAGAAAATATCGAACAGATGGAAGGATCGATTATTTATAAAAGTAAATTGGTCTTCTTCTTCACACTATAATTAATTTTAAATCGATATTTACCCATCAGCTTCTCAACTCCACTCTTCACTTTCATAAAGATGATTAAGATGATGTTGCAATCTGTTAATCTTTTTTTTTTTTTTTTTTTTTGAATTTCCACTCTTCTTCAGTGATTTCAGAATAGAGAAGAGTGACAGAGTTTTTATAGAAATGTGAATGAAAATTTCAATCAATGATTTATTACAGTTTAAAAATATATATATGAATATTCAGAATCGGGAAGACTGTTTATACTTTTCTTCAAAACTAGATAAAATAGATAAACTGTAATGATTTGAAGAAAAATCAAAGTGAGAAACAAAGAAAAAAAGAGGAAGAGCAAATAAATAAATAAAGACATAAATAAAGAAAGACATACAAAGAAAATTTCATATTATGAGTGTAAATCAGATAAATTTTAAATAAAAATATAATAAACAATATCAATAAAGCTTCTGAGCCGGAATGAAATATGAGAAGTGAAATAAAATCAAATAAAGAAAATAAAAATAAATAAATACATATTTAAATTAATAAAATGACAGATTTTGTATTTTCTATTAATGTTGATAAAACATTCAAAACCAATGAAGAGGTTTTGCATCTATCTCTAACATCTTTTTTAAAAGATTTGCAGATAATTTTTAAAAAAGATATTAAAAAGAGATCTCTGAAGTTTCTTTAAAAAATTTTATATTAAATGTTTGAGAAAAGACTGTGTCACACCCTTGGTTGTGCCAAGGCCCCGTGACGGCTCCACACGGCCCATCGTTTCCCTCGGATAATCCCATGACATCACGCAGGTGTCCGAACCGGTTTCCAACCACCCTATGACATCATTCGGATGCAATAGAAGAGGATCCGATTGATGAGATATGAGAATCCTGTTTCTATACGGGGTCTGGATTCCTTCTGGCAGATCAATGCAGCGCCACTGCGGAGTTGCTTCGGCTACCCTCGCTCATAGAGTGAGGGGAGGATGGCTGCCCGTTGTCTATATAGAATAGCTAGATGCTGGCTCTCTATTCCAGGAGCCAGCGATTCGTCTTTTATCTTTTGACATAAGATACCAGAGTTACCACTGTCCCTCATACAATATCCTTAGTGTGCCGAGTACCTCTGGGAATTTCAGTAATTTGTATAGTATTCTACAAGTTCGTGGGTTCAGGCGAAGATAATCAAGCCCACCCATAAAGGCTTCCTCATTATATTCCTACCCTCCCTTCTGTGCC